AAAATTTTTTATTTTTTTTTCGTGAACCGGCGGCGCGAGGTAACTACTGGACTTGCAACACCCCCCCAAAGTTTCGTTTTTTTGGGGGGACCCCCCAATTCCACAGTGCGCCGCATGCCATGCGCGCGCGTCGTGCGCACTGCGCGGTGCGGCGCACGTGCGCGTCATAGCGCATGGCGATGCGCCGCAAGTATGGTTAAAAGTCAACAACTATAAAAAAGCTTTAAAAAGGACTTAAAAAACTAATAAAACGTAATGAATTATTAATAATTAAAAAATTGGGGTTGTCTAATAAATTGTTATAGAGAGAGAGCATGTCCGGACCCCCCAAAAAAGCATAAATGGGCCTGAAAAACCCCCAAAACAATTTTGGGGGCTTGGCTCCTCAATGGGGAAGGGTCCTGGACTGAATCCAGACCTTCTGAACGGCGGTCCGGACGTCCGGATCGTAGCCATGGTAATATTTCTCGAGTTATGCATGTCATCCTTGAAAGCGCAGGGGGTCCCATGGTAAGTAAGAATCTCCGTATCGTTCCAATTTTAACGGATGGCCCAAAGGACCGGACACACATGTGTAGCAGAGGGTCTACAGAGATTCAGAAGTAGTCTGTGGCCTGGGATATATACATATATGTAGTCACATAACTATGAAGTAGTATGAACTAAAAGAGCACACTTTGCAAAACAAACGACAAAAATAAACAATTAAAAAAAACAAGACAATCATGAAGGGCACACTGAAACCATTCATTTTTCTCATTCTTCTTTCAACTCCCCCTTCACCATGCCTTTCATGTACACGGCTCGCCACATTGATGAAGTTGAGCGCGAGCTGCCCCCATCCCCGTGTGCCATAACAGCCCACTTGTCCGGTGTGAGAAAGAGGCAGAGTGAAGGGGGAGGGGATAAACACAGGGAGGAGAGATAGAGAGCAGACAAACAAAGAACGATAAAGGGAAAGTAAGGGAAAGTATGAGTGTGGAGTGAAGATGAAGGCAAAAGAGGATAAGAAAAGGCTCAAGAACGAGTCTGTCCTTGACGACAGAGAGGACATACATTGTAAGGATGAAGTGGATGATCACATGGAAGACGTAGTTGAGCATTCTCAGTGCAACAATTGCCACGACGGCTGGCACTGAGCATGCCCACCCTACACCCCCGACAAATGGCATGTCGATCGCAAGCCAAAATGAAGGAAGAACGGTCACCACAAAAGACCATGCATTCAGTATAGCGCCCATGGCCGCAAAATATACATAAAACCTAGGTTACCTGATCGGACGTCCGGGACCCCCCTGACCGTCCGGGGCTGTCCGCTCGGACAACCGGTCGGACATCCTCCCTTGGCAGACTGTCCGAGCCCGAACGGCAAAAAAAAAAAAAAAAAAAAAAAGTCCTCCAAAAAATCTGAGAGAAAAACTATGTTACGCAGAAACATAAACTGAACAACTTTTGCCTTGGGATGATATCGAAATTCGTTGTCAATTTTAAAATAAAAAATAAAATTAAAGGCACCCCCATTTTTTAATTTTTTTTTCGTGCATTTAATTGCTAAAAATGGAGTTGTCCGGGCCCGGACGTCCGGGACCCCCCTGACTGTCCGCCCAGAGGACGTCCGGCCAGGACCTCCTGCCATCGGACAACTGGTAACATAGCATAAAACAGAACTGCCCGGTAAACCATAAGGCAGAGAGGGAGAGGAGGACAACAAACGCGGGCGGCTGTGACAGACTGTTTCATCGTAGTTTCACCGACTCATCAGGAGGCTGAACCCTAATGTATATGTATATAGGGTTCAGCCTCCTGATGAGTTGGTGAAACTCCGACCAAAAAAACACTCTGTCACAGGCCCTCGTTTGTTCTCCTCTTCTCCTTCTCTGCCTCCGGCTTACCGGCCAGTTCTCACTGACGATTTTATTTTCAGTTTTATTTTTTTGCGGGGAAAAGCAAGGAATCCCACTGACGATATAGCAGTCTATGGCCACCGTTTTCACAGTTTTTGCTGTTTTTCTGCTCCCTTTTTCCCTATTTTTCTTCCAGGTTTTCTCGCTCGCCTAATTACGGCCCTAGATACAACTCTTTTTTTTTCCCTTTGGCAGGGCCATCTTGCTAATACCGCAAAGAGTTTCTTTTCATTCCATTTTCGTCGTTTTCCTATCCCATTTTCCTTTCCCTTGCCTTTTTGTCTGTTTTTCCTCCTGTTTTTCTCTCTCTCTCGCCTAATTACTCCCTTACCTTTTATAGCTCCCCCTGGAGAACTGAGGATTTCGTGCAAAAAAAAACAAAAAAAAAGGAACCAACAAGAAAATCCAATACGGGCGGATATAGTTAATCAATCATCCGATGGGGGTAAGATCAGGCTATACATATATATTGTCAAACAGAGCTGCCCGGTAAACCGTAGGCAGATAGAGAGAAGAGGACAACAAACGAGGGGCTGTGACAAAGCCTCCTGATGAGTCGGTGAAACTCCGACGAAAACGTTTGCCACAGCCCCTCGTTTGTTGTCGTCTTCTCCCTCTCTGCCTACCGTTTACTGGCCACTCCTGTCTGGCGACATATCATCGATATGAATATATACCTGTCTCTTATACACATCTAGATGTGTATAAGAGACAGCATAAGGGCTGCGAACAACAGCCAAAGGTCCC